AAAAAAAAGTCATGCAAGGCCCAGTGGTGGTGGCGCACATCTTTAATCCCAACACTTGGGAGGCAGAGGCAGGTGGATCTCCAAGAGTTTTAAGGCCAGCCTGGTCTACAGAGAGAGTTCCAGGTCAGCTAGGGATGTTACACAGAGAAACCCTGTCCTGAAAAACATAAGCAAACAAAATGCCTTTAAAAAGAGGTCATGATAAATAAAGAAATCAGAAGCAAAGCCCAGAAGAGGCGAATCATACAAAGTAAATCAAGGGCTGGAAGTGAAAAGCAAAGGCACAGAGACCAGAGTATGGTTAGCAAGCACAGAGTGCCTTGTCAGGATAATGAACACGCACTGGCATGTCACAATGCTAATCCTAACACAGCTCTATGACGACTGATGAGCAGATGGCTCAGTGGCCACCAGGCTGACTTCCTGAGTTTGAGCCCTAGAACTCACAAGATGGAAGGGAAGAACTAACTCTTTCAAGTTGTCCTCTGACTTCCATACGTGCACAGTGGTACTCACATGATCACAAATACAGGTAGACGCGTGCATGTGTGCGTGCACGCACGTGTGCACTTGCACACACACACAAACATAACAAAAAACTTTAAACCACAGAACTGTACACTTATAAAAAGGATGAGTGTCAAAACACGCATCTCAACAATGCTGTAGTTTAAAGCAGGCACGGTGTCTCATGCCTTTAATTCCGGCACATAGGAGGCAGAGACAGGCAGATCTGCGAGCCTTGTAGGCTGACCTACCCTACACAGCCAGTTCCAAGTCAGTCAGGGCTACATAGTGAGAACCTGCCTTAGAAGCAAGAGACAGGGGTGGGTGGCGGCGGCTGCTGTTTAAAAAAGAAACCCAACGGTGAGCCGTGAGGTGTATTTCACGTCATTGTGATCACCTCTGGTTGGGTAAGTGGCCCCATAGGCCAAGGGTGAATTAAAGGCTAGGCCCCAGCCGCCACTGGGAGATAGCGGAAGCTTCAGGAGGTGAGGTCTAGTGGAGAGAAATTGCCCTTGAAGGGGATATTGTGACCTGTCCCTCCCTCCTCTCTGCTCCCACTGTGCTGACATGCTTACACAGGTCAACTGACCACGGATAGAAACCTCACAAACTATGAGCTAAAATAGGCCTTCCCATTTTTTAAGTGAATTATACAGGTATCTTGCTGCAGCAATAAATTACTAACTCAAATGACTACAATACATAGACTTGTCTGGGGCTTAGATGCACAAGAGATACATAGTCCTGCACCCCTCGATTACCTTAAATAACAGACTACACCATTCTGGGATTTTACTACCAGTGATTTTGTAACTATGTCATGAAGGCAGAAAAATAAAAGTGATAAAAACTACTGGTAAGAAGTGCAGGTCTCATAAATTTAATTAATATATAGACAGAAATAATCAGCCTCTGGGAAATCCTCAGGGAAATGTCTATCTATTCTAAGGTGGACAAGTATACGTTCTATTGTACAAAAGAATAAGAAAATGAGTTACAGCTATAGCAAGATCATGTCAAGCCTATATGGTTAAAAATAATTTGAGCTTTAAATATTTTTAAATATTTTAAATTCCCTTTTATAATATTTTAAATCTTCTTAAACTATTATTTTAAAACATGTATTATTCAGTCCCTTCAGATTCAACTGGGTAAAGTCTTTATAGGAACAAGTTATAAGCGAAAATAGGAGTGTCTCTTGGTGTAGACTTGGGCAAGTAGTCATAAGGGTTATAACTAAAAAGCCATCCCAGGCCATAGGTCACAGGTCACAAGAATGAACACCACATAAGCTAGAGGCTAAGATAACACTGCTTCATAAATAAAAACATAAAATGCTGAATTGTGGTGGCCCTCTTCACCAAGAAGAAACAGATTAATCAAATAAAAATCCAAATTCAATCAACTGAACATGTTTCAAGGGCTCTTATAGACATGACCTACAGAAAGGTGAAAGCAACATTTTAAGGCAGCAAGGGGTGGGTATATTTTTTCTTGGATATCTATTAAATACAGTATATAATTAAATGTACATATGTAGCATCTTCACACTAAAACCCATTCTAATTACGTCTGAGAGCAGGATTTCCTAACCAGACCTAATCTCCATGTATTCATTTGCTGTATTTTAAAGCAAGCAAGCTGATGGGAACATCACCAAATGGAAAGCTGTATGTAAACACACTGCACAAGTCGGGGAGTGGGGAGTGGGGATCCTCTACCTAGTGCCTCTGGAGCTGCCCAATGTGGCTTTGGGGAGAAGAGATATGCTTTTACTGTAAGGAAAAACAAGAATCCCTTATTTCCAGGAAACTGTTTTTCTCATGTATTCTTTGTTGGGAAAGAGGGTGTGGGATTATGGGGGACCACCTACACTCATGCTATATGGGGGATGCTTACACCCATGCGGTGTGGGGGACTGCCTACACCTATGCGGTATGGGGGATGCCTACACCCATGAGGTATGGGGGGACACTTACACCCACGTGGTACGGGGGATGCCTATACCCATGCAGTATGGGAGAATGCCTATACCCATGTGGTATGGGTGATGTTTACATCCACGTGGTATGGGGGATGCCTACACCCATGTAGTATGGAGGATGCTGACACCCATGCGGTATGAGGGATTGCCTACACCCATGAAGTATGTGAGACTGCCTATACCCATGAAGTATGGGGATTGCCTACATCCATGTGGTATGGGGAATGCTTACACCCACGCGGTATGGGGGATGCCTACACACCTGTGTACTCATGTGCAAAGGCCACAGGAGGACCTTAGGTGGTGTTCTCTATCACTCTCAGCCATATTCTCTTGAGACTGGGTCTCTCACTAAACCTGGAACTTGCCATCTTGGCAAGACAGCAAGTCCCAACTATCCCATCTCCGCCTCCAGCAGTGCAAGGGTTACAGAAGTAGACAGAACACACTCTTTTCACAGGTTCTGGGGTACAAACTCTGGTCCCCATGACTGTACAACAAGCACTCTTGCCCACTGAGCCAGCTCCCCGCATCTTCTATCATGACATCTTGATGTCTAGTGTCTCTCACCAATACTTTAAACGTAGTTTCTTCTTCTCGTGTCTGCTTCAATAATAACACACTTAGTGATTTTATTTTTATAAATTGTTTCTTCGTTATTTACCTGCCCTTCCTCTTGTTTCCTGATTTTGGAAAATCCTTTATGGCTGTTTCTTTTTCCTTTAATGCTTGTACCCGAACATATAGGCAAAAACACTTATATGTCAAATACAGCTTTTGAAGGTGATCTCTAACAAACGGGAAAGCTGGGCTGCCACGTGCTGACCGGAACACTGCGCTTTCCGGCACAGACGGATAGAGGATAACTAGAGATCACCAAAAAGGAGGTTTCTGACCCCAAATTGGATGGATTACACAGGGAAATCATTTTGTTGCTGTTTTAATGTCAGCTTCTCTGGGGTTAGAATTGGCATATAAAGTTGTGTTTGCCGCAGACAGCGTCAACTTCTAAGGTTGACAGATCCCAGAATGATCTGGGTTAGTAAATTTCTAAGATTATCTCCTCATTAATACAGGTTAATGGGGTTGGTTTGATGTAATACCAGAAAAATGAATACCTTTGGGAAATTTTTGGAAATATCCACACTATAAAGGATCTTTTCATTTATTCATCCATTTATTCAGTAAAGAATGACTTTTAAACTTGCCTGCTGGTGGCAAAAAAAAAAATCAATTTACAACATCAAGCCTTATAAAGAAGACAAAGGACCTGTGTTTAAAAGTTCTATCAAAACTTGTACAAAGCCATTTCTGAAACGTTCCTGGTAAGGTCTGGTATCTTTAATAAGAGACTCCCCTCCACCAGGCCTCTAAAGAGCGCTCATCTTAGAACCTGCCTTCAGAGGGAGCACTCGGAAGCATCCCTGACCTTGCTTCTGGGCTTTGGGGCTGGAAGGGAGCACTCTGAAGCATCCCTGATCCTGCTTCGGCTCACAGAACTTAAAGTCTGTGTTCAAAGCAAAAATACTTCTATCCTGACCTAATGGTAGAGTCCAGCTGCTGCTTCCCTAGTGAGAGAGTAACCTAGCCTCAGCTGGTCCTCAGATGAAGGTGCCTCGGTAAATAACCAAGATAAACCCATCACTCTTAACTTCCGCCCATACATTCATTCACCCCTACACATTACTAAATATGTTCTAGATGCATATTATTATGCTAAAAGTTCCTGATTCTAGATGGTTATTGCCAGTCAGGTAGATTTGCAGAGAGTACACACTATTCCGAAGCAGCACTTTAGATAGACTTAAAGAGTTGCTACCTCCTCCCTTCTCACCACTGTCCAGGTAGAATGTTGTCTCGCTCCAAGATTCTCCTTTAATATTATCTTTTGAAGAGTTAGGGAAGTACAGAGGTTCTTCTGCAACTCACACTTTTATAGAGTTCTTACACAGGAACACTTAGAGTCAGTACTGATCCACAGGACGGTCTAAGGGCGCACATGAGCTGCATCCAATCCTACGGTGTCTGAGACGCAGGCAATACGCAGCACATAAAACCTGGCATATTCTTGGCTTCTCATTCTTATACTGCCTTGACATTCTAGGAAAATTAGTATTGAACTTAATTTGTCTAGATTTATCTAGGGCAAAGGGAAAATTTAGATTTTAGACTGCTTCAATTCAATAAACCATTCTCAATGGGAAATGTCAAACCTGTTTTTAGTCTTCAGGCTTACTGAAGCTGTGTCCCACCCTCTTTTTGGCTTTTCATGCAACTGTAAACACAGGGGTTCTCTGGTAAAGACGAACAATGGCTACAGGATACAAACTGTTACATCGTTATAGGTCACCATTCCAGGAGGAAACACAGAGGCTTCATAAAACAGTTAAAGCTCTGCTTCCCTAACATCATCTCCATTCATCAGAAACAAAGAGAATTCATCTGAGATAATGATTTTTTTCAATAAGAGAATTAAAATAATCCAAACATTAAAACCAAAACAAAAGCATTTATGTTCTCACATGTTTATTAAAGTACTTATTTTATAATCCTGGCATATTTTTATATCACAAATTTGTCTTTAAGTAAACTCTCAACACATTTAAGGCAGATTTAACCTGCAAACAGTCTTAACCTCTAAACACCATGGCAACACTTTAAACAAACAGCAAAATCAAAAACATCCATATCTTTCTTGCTATTCATCTTTAGACTTAAAAATTGGGTAATACATTAGATTTCCACAAAAGTTCACTTTTTTTTAACCACTTTTAAAAAAAATTTCCGCCTCCTCCCAGCCTCCCATTTCCCTCCCTCCTCCCAGTCCTCTCCCCCTCCCCCCACTCCTCTCTCCCTCCCTCTCCAGTCTGAAGAGCAGTCAGGGTTCCCTGCCCTGTGGAAAGTCCAAGGTCCTCCCCCCTCCATCCAGGTCTAGGAAGGTGAGCATCCAAACCGGCTAGGCTCCCACAAAGCCAGAACATGAAGTAGGATCAAAACCCAGTGCCACTGTGTACCCAAGAGATGCCCTATCATACTACAAAAGTTCACTTTTAAGATAGGAAACAATTTCCTTTATCTAATTAAAATAAATATAGATACTACTAAAAACTTAACTTTTAAATACATGGGGAAAATCTACACTTTAGGACAGCTCAGAGGTAGAACATCTGCCTAGCATGTACAAGGCCCTGGGCTCGGTCCCCAGGATTGGGAAAAAAAAAAGCAAAGAAAGAAAAGAAAAGACAATGCTTTCTATTCATCCTTCACTGCTCTGCACAAGCATAAGGAGTAGCTACTAGAAAACCATGTGGTTAAGTATTGCCATAAACTCCTGCTTACATGATTTGACGTGTCCATTTAGTTATCCAGATACCCAAATCCAAAGCATCCTCTGGTTCCGTTAACAGCAGGAGCCTGGGTATTGAAGATCCAGTCTCTGGTCTCTTGTCATTAACACCAAGCAAGGCTTTGAAAATTAGTTTGGCGATCCCAATCTTTGAGGGAACCTGTATCACAAAACCTCCAAGGGACCAGTGGGCACAGGCAGAAGATGCTGGGAATCAAGGCTTATGGTTAAGGTAGTGTTTCGTCAGCATGTCTTTGGAATGCAACCGGAACCACTGTTATTTATCACTCAGAAGCAAGGGCCATCAAGTCATTTCCTTCAGAAAAATCCTTTCACGTTTGGGTGTTGTCAAATGTGCACTGTTAGAAGGACGGCGCACAGTTAGGACTGGACGGCAGAGGATCTCATGCCTGCTTGTTACTCTCCGTGGCCCTCCTGTGGTCAAGCGCTTCTCGGAAACACGAATGCACTCGTCTTTAAAGCAAGACAAACTCTTCTGTGCTAAATCTTTTGAATTTTTTCTTTTCGTCCTCCGAGAACAGGTCTTCTTCACTGGCTGCAGTGGATGTAAAATCAAAGTCTCTGGAATGGCCGTTCACAAAAGTAAACAATGGGTATTTCTCCTTAGAGGAAATTTTCAACATCTGCAAGAGACAGCACAAGGAATCACACACTGGAGGCAACTGCGCATAGTAGGGCCACACGACAAAACTAAACATTTCGGCCCCGGCTTTGTCTTGTACATGTCTCTCCCTTACACTCACCCAGTGCTGTTGTTTTAACCGTCCTGCCTACAGGGTTAAAGAGGATCAGTTTACCCATAAAAATACAAGCTAGATCGCCATCGCCGGGTTCTCCCACCCCAAGGTCTCCCACAGCCTTCTAGTCCTATTATTTTGTAGTCCTGCTGAAGAACTAGCTCGAATGTATCTTCTTTTAGCTAGCAGGCAGAACGTGACAAAACTGCGGTGAACTGTTGTGAAAGACGGTTTGCTGAGGTAACGCACACAAAAACAATGCGACGCCAAGTCAGATGGCGCGGTACGGGCTCAGTTCTGCAACTACCTCAAGGTGGCCTTAAAAATCACTCACCCTCATCATCTATGAGACAGCCTAAGCCAGTCAACTTCCCTAGGAGAGAACTGTTTTTAAAGGACTGAAAGCAAGAACATAAAGCTCTTTCAAAACCTCAGTTTGAGGGCCAGTGAGATGGCTCAGTGGGTAAAAGATGCTTGCCACCAAGCCTGACAACCCGAGCTCAGTCAATGGCCAGCACCCACAGGGTGGAGAGAATTAATTCCCACAGGTGTCCTCTGACTTCTACTTGTAAAAAATGGCACACACATTTTAAAAATGTAATAAAAAATTAAAAAATAGGTTTGGTCTTTTCAAAGATTCCTATACCAACAATTGTGACTGAAATGTTTCTGCTTTGATGCAGTCAACATGGAACAATGACCTCTTGTACAGCAATAACACAGTGCCTCCTTACCAAAAAAAAAAAAAAAAAGCAGCCCCTACAATCTTGTGGGAAACGTGCAAGTATTACAAAACAAATGTTTATATGTTGCAGAGTCAAGTATACTTTGAACAATTTTAAATCTTCTGTTAAACAAATTCTAGTAACATGTAAATAATGTTCATAAAAATGAATAGAAAACTTTCTCTGAAGAATATTTGAACAGAAAATTTTCTTTCTCTTTTTTCGCTCTTGAGATAAGATGGCCCAGACTGGCCTCAACCTCATAACGGCCCTGTCTCCAGAATACTGGGATTACAGGCATGTACCAGCAGGCCCAGAAGAAACCAAGTTTTGTTGCCAATAAATGCCATTAAAATTCTGAAAAGTTCAAGTTACACAGCAAAGGCTGAGAGAATACCAACTGTACATAGACACATCACCAGTCGTCAGTTAAATATGGTTTGTTATTACCTGTAGATTTCTCTCTCTCTCTCTCTCTCTCTCTCTCTCTCTCTCTCTCTCTCTCTCTCTCTCACACACACACACACACACACACACACACACACACATTTGTAAGCTCTCTCGAAACATGGCTTAAATAGGGAGCTCTGGCAAAAGAGACAATGTAAAAAACATTTCAATGAGCCATTTAGCATAAAACACATTTTTTGTTGCATGGAAACAAACCCTGTTAAAACAGCCAAGTACTAAAACAGAGGTGATGACAGCAGATCCTGTAATTCATAGCAGGCTTCTAATTTATACTTTGCTCTAGTTTATTTGATCTGCATCCTACAAAAAATGAGGAGAAGGACAAAAATATGGAAAATGAAGAACAAGAGGCGGAAAGGATTGGCATCTGAGGACTCATCCTCCACCAGCCAACAGCTGGGAAACACGCCAGACCCTGCCTGTCACTTTATATCCATTCCATGTCACTTGTGAAGTCCGGTATCTGATGGGCAAGCGTCCATATTACATTGTTCTCAGATCAACACGGCACGGCTAACCTGAGAATCGTCACCTTTCCTTCCAAGATCAGAAAGGAGACTTTTGGGTTTGTTGGCTATGGCCAAGATGCTCATCGATCATCAGATTTAAATCTGCACCGCAGGGAAAATGTCAGAAAGAAAACTTTTACCCTTTATAAAGTGCGTTTACCCTCCTGCAATCTAAGCCTCCTACACAAAAACGTGTCGGTTCCAGCTCTGAGAACTACCAATGGTCCAATCTCTCTGAGTTTATCTACAGTAAGACGAAAGGCTCTCAAATGAGAAATATATTAAAGGTTCATCCAGGGAGCTGGGGAAACAGCTCAGGGCTAAGAACATTGACTGCTTTCCCAGAGGACCAGGATCCAATTCCTAGCACCCACATGGTAGCTCATGACCATCTCAAACTCCAGGTCCAGGAGATCTGATGCCTTCTTTCTGCTCTCCGTGAACACACATGTGGGAAACACCCATACATAAAATTAAAAATAAAGGTTTATCCAAGTTAGTTAAAATGCAGTGTCCACATAAACCATTCAGCAGAGGGCTGGAGAGGGGACTCAGCAGTTAGGAGCACTGGCTGCTCTTGAGAGGACGGAGATCAGACTCAGCGCCCACGTGGCATCTTCAACTGCCTATATAACTCAGCTGTCACAGGATCCAAGACCCTTTCACCTCCATAGGTACCAGGAACACATGTAGTACACATACATTCCTGCAGGCGAACATTCGTATACATAAGATAAATACACTTATGTAAACCCTGCATCTATATGTCTACAGCAGTTCTCTTCGTATTGTCAAAACTTGAAGGTAATCACGATGCTGTTGTTGGTTTTTTAATGAGAGAACAAATAAATTGTGGTAATCCAAAAAACGGAATGCCAATCTGTGCTGGAAAGAAGTAAGCTTTCAAAACACATGTGAAAACTTCAAGTGCATATCACCACGCGGAGGTGGTCAGTCCGAGGAGACTACGTACTGCATGGCCTCAGCTGGAGGACATTTTGGAAAAGGCAAATGATGGGCACAGAAAAAAGCTCGGTGTCTAGGAGGACAGAGGCTGATCAGGCAGAGCAGAGAGGGTTCTGACAGTTAAGCTATTGTTTATGATATTATAATGACATGTGTCTCAATATGTCTGTCAAAAGCCACAGAATATACAGCGCACAGTGTAAATCTTAAGACTCTGGATTTGGGACAATAGCAACATGTCAGTCTGAGTGTCTTGGCTGTAACAGACACACTGCCCTGCTGTGAAAGACTGATCGTGGGAAGGAAGGTCTGTGGGGACTTTCCCGCTCAGTTTTGTTGTGAAGCTAAAGGTAAACGCTCAAGATTATCCAACCTATTAAAACATTCTATGGGGGGGCGGGGGGTGGAGGGGAAGTGGCAGGAGGGAATGGGGGGAGAGGAAGGAAGGGAAACTGCAATTGGGATGCAAAACAAATGAATAAATTTAATTAATAAGAGAAAACTATGCACTATACCGGACAGTTAGCTAGAAGATGAAGCTAAATGAAACCCAATCAACAACATGCTATGGAAAGTGAGTCATGATTTCAAGACAAATGAAAACCAAAGGAGGCTCTGTAAGTTGTCTAGTTCATTCTCGCTTCTAAACAGACAAATTCAAGCACTCAAACGATCACACGGCCAGAGAAGATGACTACCGCATCAGCGGTTCATCATGGATACATGCATCTCCAAACACCTGCCCACACACCTTCCAGATACTTCCCGTAGCTAAGAGAAGTGCAGCAAGACAGCTTTAAAAATACAAAGTACTGATCTGAAAAACTGAGGGCTGGGCAGAGGGCTCAGTGGGGAAGAACACTTGCTGCTCCTCCAGGGACCCAAGTTTGGTTCCCGGCACTCACATCAGGTGGCTCACAACCACCGGTAACTCCAGCTCCAGGGGAGCCAATGTCCTCTTCTGGTCTCAGTGTGCACCCACACAGACAAACACAGGTACATAAATAAAAATAGAAATACATCTTAAGGAAACTGTTTTAAGAAAGAAAGAAAGAAAGAAAGAAAGAAAGAAAGAAAGAAAGAAAGAAAGAAAGAAAGAAAGAAAGAAAGAAAGAAAGAAAAGTCTGGTATTCTTTTTTTAATTGGAACACTGACAATTTTGTCAAAATTTTGGGATTTTCCAAAGTAGGTAATACAAAATCTACATTTAAACATTCCAAATTAGGTTATCTATGTGAGACAATATATCACTAATTTAATACTATTCCAAGTTAAGTACAATGTCAATTATTTAATTATTTAGGGAACTGTTTACTGTATATCTTTTTTAGATTTATTTGTATGTGTGTGCTTGCACACACACATGCATATGCCACGTGTGTGCAAGTGCTGCTGACGGGCAGGAGAGGGCACTGGATCCCCTGGAGCTGGAGTTACCAGTAGTTGTGAGCTTCCTGATGTGGGTTCTGGGAACTGAACTCGGCTTCTCTGGAAGAGCAGAAGCACCCTTAACTGCTGAGCCACCTCTCCAGGCCCCAATGTTCATTATATAACCTTTTACAAGCTTTGTTACATACGTGTGAAGGCACCTGTGGGGTGAGAGGACAGTTTTCTGGAGTCGACTCTTTCCTTCAGCTGTGTGGTGCCAAGAACAGAATCGACATCACCAGGGCTTCTTGCAGATGCTCTCACCTGTTGAGCCATCTCCCTGCCCTACTGTATATCTTTAAACAGAATATAAAGCTATTTACAAAACTTAACCTAAAGCACATTAAAATAATTGTATGCCTTTTGAAGGCTGGAAGAAATACATTGAAAATATTAACATTTGTCTCTAAAGGGGAAAATTAACAATTGGCTTTTTTTCCTGTTGGAATATACATAACTAATAATATATATATATTCCTAAACTTTTAAACACATATTTTTCATAAATTAAGAAAATAGCATTTTAAAATTTTTAAGATAAATTAATTTACTACAGCATAATTGATTTCCAAAAGGGGCTAGGGCGGTTGCTGGTCAACTTTAGACAAGTCTAAATTCTATTCTGTTTTTACAGCATGGCCAAATACATGCTGAAGCTGCTTTATTGCCTGAAAAGCAAGTCATAGATTTCCTTACAGGAAAGAAATATGATCATACTTCATCTATGCACTGGGTGGACAGGCTTCAGAATTTAGAAAGGAAAAAAATCTAGAAGATAGGGGTGGAG